GGCTCCACTTCTAATTCTAGTTCTCTTGCTATTTCCACCACATCTGTAGTTACTTTCTCCACTGATGTCTTGGACCACTCAAAGTCATCCACAAGGATTGAAATCAACTTCTTTCAAATTCCTCTTAACCTTGATATTTTTACTTCTTCCAATGAATCACGAATACTCTTAATGGCATCCAGAATTGTGAATCCTTTCCAGAAGGTTTTCAATTTACTTTGCCCAGATTCATCAGTGGAATCACTGTTTATGACAGTTATAGCCTTATGAAATGTATTTCTTAAATAATAAGACTTGAAAGTCAAAATTACTCCTTGATCCGTGGGCTGCAGAATGGATGTTGTGTTAGCAGGCATGAAAACAACATTAATCTCCTTGTACATCTCCATCAGAGCTCTTGGGGACCAGGTGAATTGTCAATGAACAGTAATATTTTGAAAGGAATCTTTTTTTCTGAGCAGTAGGTCTCAACAATGGGCTTAAAATATTCAGTAAATCATGTTGTAAACAGACGTGCTGTCATCCAGGCTGTGTTGTTCCATTTACAGAGCACAGGCAGAGTAGATTTAGCATAATTCTTAGGAGCCTTAGAATGTTCTGAATGGTAAATGAGCGTGGGCTTCAACTTAAAGTCACCGGCTGCATTAGCCCCTAACAAGAGAGTCAGCCTGTCCTTTGAAGTTTGAAGCCAGGCATTGACTTCTCTTCTCTAGCTATGAAAGTCCTAGATGGCGTCTTCTTCCAGTATAAGGCTGTTTTGTTCACACTGAAAATCTGATGTTTAGTGTAGCCACCTTCATCAATTACCTTATCTGGGTCTTCTGGATAGCTTGCTGCAGCTTCTATATCAGCACTTGCTGCTTCACCTTGCACTTCTATGTTATGGAGATGGCTTCTATCCTTCAATCTCATGAACCAACCTCTGCTAGCTTCAGACTTCTCTTCTGCAGCTTCTTCACCTCTCTCAGACTTCAAAGAATTGAAGAGCGTTAGGGCCTTGCTTTGGATTAGGCTTTGGCTTAAGGGAATGTTGTGGCTGGCTTGATCTGCTACTAAAACTTTCTCCATATCAGCAGTAAGGCTGTTTTGCTTTTGTATCACGCGCGTGTCCACTGGAGTAGCACTTTTAATTTCCTTCAAGACCTTTTCCTTTGCATTCACAACTCAGCTGTTGGGTGCAAGAAGCCCAGCTTTTGGTCTGTCTCAGTTTTTGACATGCCTTCCTCACTAAGCTTAATCATTTCTAGCTTTGATTTAAAGTGAGAGATGTGCGACTCTTCCTTTCACTTGAACACTTAGGGGCCGTTGTAGGATTCTTAATTGGCCTAATTTCAATATTGTTGTGTCTCAGGGAATGGGAAGGCCTGAGGGAGGGAGAAGAGAGGGAGAGAGATGGGGGAACGGCCAGTCAGAACACACACAACATTTATCGATTAAGTTCGCTGTCTTATGGGCAAGGTTTGTGGCGCCTCAAAACAGTTACAATAGTAACATCAGTGATCACTGATCCCAAATTACCATAACAGATATACTAATGATGAAAAGGTTTGAAATATTGTGAGAATTACAAAAATGTGACACAGAGACATGAAGTGAGCACATGCTGTTGGAAAAATGGTGCCGATAGACTTGCTTGACACAGGGTTGCCACAAACCTTCAATTTGTAAAAAACACAATATCTGCAAAGCTGAACAAGGTGAAGCACAATAAAATGAGATATGTCTGTAGGTAGTTTCCAGTTAGGGGCAATTAAAAACAGAGCCACTATATTCATCTTTATATTTTTTGGTTTAAAAATATGCTCATTTGTGTTGATTACTTTCCTAGCAATGGAACTGCTGATGATAAAGTATGCCTATGTTCAGCTTTAGGTAATACTGCCAAACAGTTTTTCAAAGTGGTTGTACCAACTTGCACTTCTACAGTAAAACATGATAGCTCTTCTTCTTTTTATCCTTACCAACACTTGGTATTTTCCATCTTTACCATTTTAACCATTCAAGTGGGTGTTTCGTGGTTTCATGCTAAGTTCTGTGATCCATCAATATACTTCTCATTTTTGTGGAGTCTTCAGGGTTGAATTCTGGGGAGAAGTTAACAATTATGTTAGCTTGCCATCTTGTCTGCAACTGTTCTTTTAACTTCACATACAGCTATACCTGTTATAAATTAAACAAATATATTATTTTGCTAAATATTATGTTTATAAGTTTCATCCATAGTGTTATGTTTGTAGATCATTCATTCTCATTACTCTATAGTATTCCATTGTGTGACTAAACAATAAAGCATTTATCCAGTCTACTAATGATGTATATTTGGGTAGTTCCTAGTTTGGAGTTCTGATCAATTTCTTAACCGTGAATATTAAGTTGGTTCTGATTTGTTTCCAAACAATGTTGCAAAGACATCTTTTTGCATGTCTCCTTGTGTGTGTGTGTGTGTGTGTATACATTTATATATACATATATATATAACCCACTGCCATCCAGTTGATTCCAACTCTTAGCAACCCAGTAGGGTTTCCAAGGCTGTAAATCTCTATGGAAGCAGACTGCCACATCTTTCTCCTGCAGAGCAGCTGATAATTTTGAAAGGCTGACCTTTTGGTTAGCAGTCTAGAGCTTTAGCCACTGCACCATGAGGGCACACACACACACACACACACACACACACACACACACACACACCTTATTTTTACACAAATAACACTGGTTCCCTTTGTTTGTTTGCCAGCCGCACCCTCCCCCTGTAAGGCACCCTCAAAAGCACACCACCATGCCAATCCTTTTCCACAAGTTGCTGTTAAAAAAAAAAAAAATAGCATAGTCCCCTTACAAAAATACCTCACAGAGGGGAGGGCGAGACCAGCAAACAAATGTAGCAGGCATGCATTATTTGCATAAAAATTGTGTGTGTGTGTGTGTGTGTGTGCATGAGTGCTTCTTTTGGGTACCCATAGGTACCATGAGTGGGGAGAAACAGGCACAACCAGAACACTCAGCCTATACCCTGTTCATAGCATCTGCCATTTTCTTTCACCTCGTCCCTACCACACTGTGACCCAACCAGCTTCTACATCGCCACTCACCCCCTAGATGTTTCTCACAGGTTTTGTTTTATAAATTTTTATTCAAGTAAAACATTCTGGTAAAAAAGCACATATATTTTAACAGTGTAGCACATCAAATTTCCCCAAATGGAACACATATACATAACTCAGATAAAGAGATGGAAAATTATCAGCATCGCTGAAGTGTAATAATGCATTTAGGATGCATTATTTAGGATGTCTGATTTCAATTTTACTAGATACTTCCAAATTTATCTTCAAAGAAACTATGTCGATTAATCCTCTCATCAGAAGTGAAAAAGTATATGCATTTCTCCTCGTTCTTATCAACACTAGAGGTAGTCATATCTATTTTTCATTTGCTATTAGGTAAAAATGCTTTCTTATTGTTTTAAGTTGCTTTTCCTTACTTATTAATATGGTTGAGCATCTTTTCATGTTTATTTGCCAGATGGAATGTTCTTTGCTCATTTTGCTATTAGGTTGCTGTCCTGTTGTTACCCTTTCCCTAAGAGCCACAGCTTATTCCGTTTTCTGGACAGCTCCCTCCTGTTTGCCCTGCCCCTTCCAAGTGGATACACTGTAGCATACTGTACTCTTCTCAGGGCTGGATTGATTACACCAAAGCTTTCCCAGAAACTCTCATGGGGGGCCGCAGTCTTTAATGATTGTACTAAACCTGCAACCTCTCCTATACCAGGTGTCAAAAACACGTGGCAGGGCATGTTTATTTGGCTCACGGAGTGTTTTCAGTGTAAGTAGTCAGGTATTATGCTTGTTTGCAATACAGTAAGCAGCTTAGTTCCTATTGTTTTGTCCCTGGCCTGCCACCTCTATTTACGTTAACTCCATGCTCCTGTAGGCATTTGGGAATTAATGCAAACCCGTCTGTGTTAGATGAAAGCACCACTGTCTAGGGATTTCTGATGGGGTAGGAGTTCATCTTCTTTCCATCGTCAGCTTTGGGATCTTGGGCAAGTCATGTTACCCCTCACAGCCAGTCTCCTCTAGTGTAAAATGAAACATAAAGATATCTTCTCTGATGGCCTCACAGAGTTGTTTTGGAAATTAAGTCAAAGCACGTATGAACGTGTTTTTTGTGAAATGGGAGCAGCCATTGTTATTCTTGCCCACCCCTGTCTATTGTGCCAAGGATACTGCCATTACCTCCATGCAGCCCTCACCCTGAGCATGGCCCTGGGCAACAACAGGGGCAAATATTCTCAAGGCAATGGGATTCTCTACCAGGCACCGCTCTCAGCCATATTACAGAGGGGCTGGGCCTTACTGACAAACAGAGACCACAGGCTTTTCTGAGAACTGCCCTTTGAAAACCTAGAGCAGAACCAAGGGTGTGAAATCCAAATGTGCTAGCAGCACGTTTTCTGAAATAATGCTGTGCGCTACTCAGTACAGGGCTGAGTGAGGATTCCAAGTCAGACGACATCCTCAGCTGAAACAAATGCATAATTATGATTTGATTTCAGAAGTGCAAACACAACCTGAGTTAACCGACCCACTGATGAGTCCAAATTCCTGTATTTTTGGAGTAGGGGCCCGTTCTGGAAGTTAGGAAAAGCACAACTGGGTAGAGACACGCTGAAGGGAGGCCTGTCCAGGGACCATGGGGATTGCTGTCGGGGGCTCCAACCACTTCCAGGACTGTGTCCCACAGTCCCACTTCCGGGACTGTGCTGGCTACCGCATCGAAAGTGCGAGGAGAGAGCAGCACGTGGATCTTCCCTGTCATCAGGCAGATCTCTTCAATGATGTGAGCTCAGGCTCTGTGTGCCTTTGTCAGCCCAGCTCCAGCCAGAACCCTTGGAAGGCAGAGCTGTAGCCTGCTGCCCAGCTCCCCAGAGGTGAGCCGGACTCTGCTATTCGGCTGCAGGCACCGGGCCAGAGAGACTCAACCCTGTCTAAGCCATGCCATCCAACCTCACAGAGGGCAGCCCCAATTCCAGCGGGATCACGCAGATGCTGGATTCTTCCCCGGCCGCCTGCACCGAAACAGTGACTTTCACTGAAGTGGTGGAGGGAGAGGAGTGGGGCTCTTTCTCCTACTCCTTTAAGGTAAGTCTCTTGCCTTCCACAATGAACTTTGATTTTAAAGGATGAAACAGGTAAAACCTAAGAGACAGTATCCCAGCCAATACTGTGAATGGGTAGAGTTTATTTTCTTTATTAAAAAGATTGAAAGAAAGATAAGCTAAAGCAACGAGTTTTCCACAGTATACAAGAACCAGTATTGTAGTTTCTTACAATTAAAGATTTTTTTTCTTCTGCTACTGAATGTGCAAATCTTGAGTAATATTTATGAGTGGATGTTTGTTTGTTTGTTTGTTTGTTTTACATTCCCGCTTTCCTTAGGAAAAAGCCCTTTCAATTAATCCTATAGCAGTGTTTGAAATGGTGTGCTTGTAATGGGGGCTGGAGCTGTGAGGCTTTTGCTAGGAATGTCAGAGGTGAGTAAAGCCCACAGCCCCTCGAGACAACATCCAGTGCATTGAGAAATGTAGCACTGTGTAAGGAAGGAAGGACCACACTTTCTTTATTGATCTTTTTCATTGAGTATCAGTGAGAAACAGAGTCTGTGACCACAGTTCGTGGTACTGCAGTTTGCAACAAGTTGCCTTCTAGAACAAATGGCGAGTTTGGTGAGTTTCACCCACAAAGTATCTGAAGTCCACTTTAAAGAAATGATCCTTGTTGAGCTAATACTGCTCCTTAAGCTGCAACAAGTTCTTGTGGTCAGGGATAAGTCAGGCATTTGGAAAACAAGAGTTTCCTGCATCTTGCATCGGAATGCTGGGACCTCAGGTTATTTTACACGCTGCCTCATGGCGCGCTCAGTCATTGCAATAATTCACAGGTCTCAAACTGTTCCTTTATTTCAAAAAGGAAAATACTTCAAGAAAAAATGCTAATTTTGCTTTTTTTTTTTTTTTTTTTTTGAGCCTCTGGGTTTTTGCATGACAAGGTAGAATTACCACCTCCCTACGGGATGTCCGCCTCTTTGAGAACACTACTCAGAATGAAACTTTCAGCAGGGAGCCGTCCCAGGAGCCGGCTTCGAGCTCCTCCAGAGCCAAGAGCCCATGTAGCCAAACGGAGCCCAAACAAATCACCTAGGCTCTTTGCAGCGGGACCTTGTCCCTTTGAACCAGCTCCCAACACTTGCACACACACAGAAGCCCCGTGACATAAAATAGAAACTAAAACTGGAGTTTGTTGTCATTTGCCGTGAGCGGGCTAATCCCCTGTAGGAGAGCAGCCTGCAGACCCTGAGATGGTATCGTGGAGGAGCAGCCTTTGTGCGCCTGGGAAGCACATGCTGCACTCCGTGATGGCTGCCTCTGCAGCCTCTTTGATATTTACAGAACATGACAGCAAACAGAATGAACAGAGACTGGCCATTGCAAAGCGGGTAATAATTCACAAGAAAGTACTTGTTCTGAGACTCAGGCAATAATCACTCTGAATTGAAATCTCATTCGCCACTTCTTGAATACAGTACCAGAGGGGATGTGTTGAATATGAGAACAAACACCTGCTCACTCTGTTAGTGTTCGTACTTTCTGTCCTAGCAACGTCATTGCTAAAAAAAAAAAAAAAGAAATCCATTGCCATCGAGTCGATTCCGACTCACAGCACTCCTATAGAACAGAATAGAACTGCCCCATAGGGTTTCCAAGCAGCGGCTGGTGGATTTGAACTGCCAACATTTTGGTTAGCAGCCAAGCTCGAACCACTGCACCACCAGGGTTCCAGGCACTTAATAGCATCGTCTTATTTTTATCTTTTTCCTATTGATATGTTTGCCATAAAACAGCTAGACCCTGGACAAAGAAAGATGCAGAAAGACAGGAACTGTACTTCCGGCCAGGTGCTTAGAATGCTGTGGCTCATACATTCTCTTTACTAACACCTGATGATTTTTAACTACACAACGATCAGTAGTGGTGTTTGTAGGCACCTAGTTTAATTTTCTTACTGTAACTTCTGCTGTGGTCCCCTTTGAGCACAAGCTTTTTTTTTTTTGATGGGGACGGGGGTGGGGAGCATGCTTGACAGACAAGTCTGATGCAAGCGCTCGTTCTCTTTGATTCCTTTTATTCCACATACTTCTTAAGAAACAGACGTGTCCTTCCTCACTATCTTCCAAACCCATCCTTTTAATCCCCGTTACCTTACTAAAAGCAGTAAAACTGGCGTAAAAAAAATTGTAACAACAGTAAAAGTAGTAAAATATTAACAGCAGAAATAATAGCAACACTGGGGGCTTTCTAGGTGCAGGAATCTTGCCAAGCAGCTTCTGTGAAGTATCTCATTTAATTCTCATAATTCAAGGTGGATGTTTCCATCTTGAATTGCCTTCCATCTTCACTTGTGTTTATCTGAAGTCTACCAATTCTTTAAGGCTCAGCTTGGGTTGCTTCCTCCATGAAGCCCCTCTTGACTCATCCTTCCTCTAAGTTCCAGTAGTGTCATGGGCTGTATTTCTCTTCCTGCCACTTAATCCAACTGTGTTTTAAACTGTTATTTAACTATGCATGGGCAGTCATTAAGCTCTTTGAGTGAAAGAAATGCCTGATGTTGGATTCAGAGCCGAGCACCGTGCTTGGCATACTGCACATGCTCAATAAACATTTACTACATAAATGAAGTGCGGTGTCTGTTTCTGTCAATGCTTACATTAAGTCAGAATGGGTAAAAGAAAACTCACATTCCTAGTAACAGAGGTAGACGGTCTTATTAACCACAATTTCACATATCAGCCCCTGCCTTGCCTGGCCTCTGTCAGCTGTATTGATGGAAGTCCCCTGCAAAAATGTTTAGCTTATCCTTATCCCATTTTTAAGTCAGCTGTGATGAAGGGAAGTGATATATTTCAGTGGGTGTGCTATGGGATTAGTTGTGGGGCTATAGGCCAGTACCCAGTACCCGGTTTAGCCCTAAAGAACCTGTAGCCACTGTGTTCTTGCCGTACCTAGTCTCAGCTGACTTGCTTAGGCCACATACCTGGGTCTCTAATTTGGTTTCCTGCTTAGCATTCTAGTTCTTCTCCTCTGAACCCCAAAGTCTTTTTGGCTGGAGACAAGACGTTCGTGTCTAGATCTTACCAGCCCTCCTTCATAGGCTTAGAACATTTACCGCCCTTCCACCTCCAAATTCTTACTTCTGCTCTCCACCACTCTAACCTGCTCTGCAGTCCTAAGCGTGGTGTACTCCTTGGATGTCAGCAGCGAAATCAAGGTGAGTTTCCCTCCTCCTTCCTCTGTCGTGGGTTTCCTGTGACTAACCCCATGTCCTCCTAGGTTGAAGGTTCTCAGCTCCGACCCTTGTTTCCTTTCCAGTTTCCAATTTGTCCTCTCAAGCTGCCAACCAGCTGACCTCCTCAATTCCTAGCCCCCAACATTAAGGAACTATATGGGCTTCCAGAAGTTTTCTAGAAAGACGGAAACTGGCTCATCAAAAAGTGCATAGGGGATCCGAATATAAAATGGTCCAAATGGAAGACAAAGAGGAAATTCTTTGTACAAAAGTCCTTAATTTGGCCCATGAATTCACTAGCAATGTTTCCTGAATCTCTGATTCTTAGTGATGAGAAACCAGATTTTAACTAACTGGGAAGGAGGCCCATCTGAATTAGTAAATTATCTAAATGATAAAATAATGCAAATAAAGCTCAGTTTTATTACTCTTAGGTGAGGAGATAAGCATGAACCAAGACCGCTAAATATTACCTAATGAGAATCTTTTATTGACTCTCCTTCAGTGGGTAGCTACAAATGATATGCAATTAGTCTAACTATTGTTTATATGTAAATGGTGTATCTAAGTGCTTGAGGGTGATTGGACACAGTTCGTTCCCTTTGTTTGTACACCCTCCCTGCCATGCTACCTTACTGTTAAATTTTCTTAACACATCCTTCTTCCATTAATATAAAAAACAGCAAATTTCAGCTCAACCCATGTCCCAGTTATCTCACACGACACTTTTAAGCAAGAGTTCAGTTTAAGAAGCTTAAGTGTACTGTGATTGTTTTCATTACATTTATGTTCACAACTCATTTCTAAGAACTCGGTCTGCCCACTGAGTATCCACATTTTCACCTTCTATGACTGTTGTTTCAACTCCTCTTTGCCCAAGTGCCTCCTTCCCTGAACCTTCCCTGTGTCCCATCACACCTCTCCATGGCTTGCTTGTCTCCCTTGCTGCCTTGGATCCCAGGACAATGTCAGAGATGCCCTTCCCAGAATTCAGGAACCCTCAGCTCCCAACCTCCCAACTTATCTCCTGCAATTTGTAACAAGGGGTCCTGCCTTTCCATTATGTAGGTTCTTGTCCTCTTCTAATTAGTTCCACTCAATATGTTCAATTTGAGCTTCTACAGTGGAATATTAGGAGCCCCTGGGTGGCGCAAACAGTTAAGCACTCCAATACTAGCTGAAAGGTTGGTGGTTCAAACCCACCCAGAGGCGCCTCAGGAGACAGGCCTGGCAGTCTGCTTCGAAAAGGTCTCAGCCTTGAAAACCCTACGGGAGCAGTTCTACTCTGCGCACATGGGGTCTCCATGAGTGGGAATCGACTCCATGGCAACTAACAGCAACACACAATACTTTCTCATCACTGAGTTCTCCCACATCTCTCCTCACATCCTGCACCACTATTGCACCATCTAACTCTTCATTTCCTTCAGCCTCCTTTCTCTGTCATGGGGAAACTGACTACACTATTAGTTCTTCCGGATTTATTCCAGGCTCTCTGCTCTGCATGCTCAGGAAGCACATTTTCTTACAATGGGAAAAGCCATTTCTCTGGAAAATGCTTTGCTGTGTATATTTTACCAACAGTAACTTTTTAAAAAAGCCATTTTTCTTCAAGCTACTTATGAGATCCCTCAATGAGGTATTTTGAAAGCCGAATGCAAACTTGTTTCTCTCTGGCTGCCTTGATGGAGTAAAGATAGTACCCTGAGGGCAGGTGGGGCAGTGTGCTGGCTTCCTGGGCTGAGGAAGTTTATATCAAGTAAGTGGGAAGGAGCACATCCATTAATGCCTCAAAATGT